GATCCGATCCGACGCGACTCGATCCGTGTCCGATTCGACTTCGCGACTCGATCCAGCTCAGACCTGCCTGGGCTCGCCACCGACCCTCAGGCGCGCCGCCGAAGGAAATGCACGCGCACCTCCGAACGTGTACGCCCGTGCCGTTCTTCGGCTGCACGCAAGAGTGACCGATGGGCAAGAGTGACTTTGGTGCGCGGCTCCTTGGGGGCTGCGGGCGGGCCAACACGAGCGCGCAAGACGCCACTGCCGCCTCGCGTTCGGCGAACGCGGGATTCCAGTGGGCCCAGGAGGAGGAGGAAGCAGGAGGAGGAGGAGGAGGTGGAGGAGGAGGAGGAGGAGGCGGAGGCGGAGGCGGAGGCAGAGGAGGAGGAGGAGGAGGAGGAGGAGGAGGAGGAGGAGGAGGAGGAGGCAGAAAGGTCACTCTGACGTGCAGCCGTCACTTGTTTTCAGCTCGCCGAGGCGGAGGGGCCGCGCAGGCAGGCCCGGCCCTCAGCCGAGGAGGCCCTGGGTCAGGATCAGGGTCAGGTCCTCGCCGTCCGGGTTCTGCCCGGGCCTGCGGGGTATCTGGGGCCGCGAGGAGAGCGTGATCGGTGCGAGTGCCCGCTGGGCGGAGGTGGGTAGAACCCCGGGGGGGGAGCGGGAAGTAGGCAGAACCATGGAGTAGGAAGGCTTTGGAGGTAGATTGGGCCTCCGCCCGCTCCCTGAAGAGGAGGGCAGGAAGAGGGAGCACCGCTCGACTCTTGAAGCAGGAAGGCGCATAGAGTAGATTGGGATCTGGGAATCCCAACAAACATGCCTACCTCCAACGGCCAGCGACCGAAGGTGGGAGTGCAGCCGGCAAGTGGCCGCAGGAGCGGGGGGCCAAAGCAGGAGGCCCCCTTCCGCCGAAGGCCCAAGAGGCCCCGTGGGGATGCCCAGAACGAGGAGCGATCCATGCCAGGCCCTCGCCGTCGGGGCTCCGCCCGGGGCCTGCGGCGATCCGCGGCCGCGGGGCGGGGGGACCCGGGCCTCAGGGCGGGAGCCCGGCCGAGGAGTGGCCGCGAGAGCCTGGGCCAGGAGCGAGGGCCCCTCCGCCGAAGGCCTGAGGCCTCACGGAGATGTGCTCCGCGGTGGAGGGCCCAGGCAACAAAGCACCAGGGAGCCCGCTCCAAACCGAGATTGTTCGATTGTTCTGCGGGCTGCAGGGCCAGAGGTGAGGCTTGGGGCTCGGGTGGAGGCAGCCCTGGACGGTCCCCGGGGGAAGGCGTCAGCCTCAGGCTGGGCTCGCCCCATGACTCCACCCTTGGTCTCACCCCCCGTTTCAAAAACTTGCTGCGCACTCGACGAGACGGCGGGGGGTGGGTTTTTGCTGGGAGGACAGGGAGGAGGGAGGAAGAGGGAGGATGAGGGAGGAGGAGGAGGAGGGAGAAGGATGGAGAAGGGGGAGGAAGAGGAGGAATAAGAGTAGTGTACACCCCAGACTCGTCAACGATGCTGCAATACTCCCTCCCTCCAAAATCCCTCTTCACATGTCCCTATAATAATCGTTTTTCACTGAAGGAAACGCCCCAGGGGAAGACAATCGTCTGAAAATCCTGAACCGTACCACAAATTTGTTCTTGGGACTTCAACGCCGCGAATCAACGTTAATCCTGAATCGTGCCAGACCACCGTTCCTAGGACTTCAACACCGCGAATCAACGTAACTGTTGCACCTG